CGGCCGTGCCGTGTGAATCCCTGTAAATTCCCGGGCCTCACGTGAGGAAGGGAGCCCGAGGCACACGCAGGGCATGGCACAGGCAGTGTAGCAGAGAGAAATGAGGCTGGGGTTGAGAGGCGTTTAAAGTCTGTGTTACAGACTTTATTCATCGCGTGAGCGATGTGCATTTCCCTGGGGGTTTAGGTATCTGCTTAGAAACGAAACTTGGTCTTTCATGACTTGCGTTAAAAAATAGTCATGCCTGCTCACCAACCTGCTTAAAAGTACGTGGAGTAAAGGAAAGCAAAGAAACTTGAGACTTGCGGGTGGGAGAGGATGAATCTTAGCGGCCTCTTGGTGATACAAGACTTGGATCCCAGCACTATGACCATGCAACTTCTGAAGTAAACTATATGTGAGCACCACAGGCTGAGAACTGGTGCTTTTGGCAGAATTTCAATTTATTTTTTTCCCCTTAGTCTGAAGAGTCAGACTAAAGCTTCTGTTCTCCATGAAGAGATCCAGTCTTGATTTGGAAACACCAAGCAAAGATGAAAAATCTTTCCCTGGTTGCCTTGCTTCTTTGGTTAATCACCTTGTAGATTACACCTTTGTCTGATTTCACAAATTAGTTGTCTTGGCTTGAACTACAGAGTTTTTCTGGTGTGTGCGTGTGTTTTTCTTTACTGCGTTAAAGATCTCTCTAATCTAATTTTCTCCTTTTGAAGGATTTATATACTGTAACTGATTCATCTCTTTAGTCTTCCTTTTGATAGCCCAAACAGCTGGAGCTCCACAGGCCTCTCTTACAAAGTATTTTCTTGGGCTCTCACCTTTTCTTTGTGGTGCTTTTATACCTCCTCCCAAGTTCTTAATCAAAGATCTGAAAAACAAGCTCTTCTTCCACTGCTGCCTTCCCCTGCAGCACAGTGCAAAAACAGGGACTATGCTGCACACTCATTTTTCTTCTTCAGGTGTGTCTGTAGTGTCTTAATCTTGTCTTAATTCTTTTCAAGTTCTTTGCTTTCTAGAATATGCTGTTGTCCTGCAAGCCTTGTGCTTGCTAGTCTAACATTTATTGTATTGCGTGTGCTTGAGTGCTATGTATTACTGAACTGAATTTACTCATTATAAAGTTTATTTTACTCTTTGTCAGTCTCAGGATGTTAAACACACATGTGTTTGCATCAAATGTACAAACATGAGTGCTAGGTATGGTTTTATTTCATAGAAGGAGGAGGAAAAATATTTTTTTATGGGCTGTGTACCCAGAATGAAATCCTGCAGAACCCCACTAGAAATTTGCTTAGCTGATAATGTTTCCTCAGTATCTTTGTGAGTTTGCCAAGTCAGCTATTTTTGTGTGCATGTTTTCTGCTTTCATTGTTGCAGGGTAAGAGCTACCTTTTAAAGTGCAGTACCCTGCAGCTCTATGTCAAGTGCTCTACGGAAGTTGTTGCACTTCCATGATAATAACTGGTAATCAATCCCGCAGTCTCAGAGCATGCAATCAGGTTTGTGAGCCGGTGTCTATTTTCTGTATAATCGGACAAGCCAGCCCTACTTATGTTCTCATCCTTTCATTCTTTATTGATTGCATTGCATGGGTTTTGCTATTATCTTGCCATGCACTGAGGGTTATAATTACTGATGTCAACCCAATCTCCTCTAAAGTGAGTATCAGTACAATGCTTCAGTCTCCTGGCATATTCCCAGTTGTTTGAAGGGGAATCTCTTCTCGGGGTAATCAGAAGAGGTATGAAATTAGATACTGCTGCAGCCCCTAAGTCTCATGAGCAGCTTGATGCCAAAGGCCTGGATAAATGAAAAGTAATCATGACACTGATACTGTTCTGATTTGTTAATCCACAAGAACATCTTGTGTCTTTAAACCTCTATTTGACCTTCATGTTCCTGTAAATTTTATACTCTTTAAAACTGTAGTCTGGAAGGGTAAATACTGTACTCTTTCTATGGCAATGTGCCTTACATAATCCCTAGCAGGTACTGAAATTCCACTTTCATTCTTACTGGTGTATTTTATTTTCTTCATATGGACAGTGAAGAGTAACTGAGGGACTGTGTATCATTTCACCAGACTCTAATCTTTAACTGGGTTGTAACCAATTAATCTGACTAGGAACAGACACAGTTATCAGAGCAAACAGCCATCTGTTCATATCCTCCCTTTAGCCAATGCACAAAGTAGTAGATGTAGGGCAGGAAAGAGAATGGGCAGATAAATTCATCTCCAGAATGATCCTACAAAGAATCTTATCTTTTTTTCCAGTAGAAAGGGATATGAATTGAATCCTCAAGTCGCATTTGTAAACAGGAGTTTCATAATTAATTTTGTTCCGCTTTGCCGGATTCTCTGCAATTGAAGCTGTACCTCTTGCTAACTGGGAAACTTCTGTTGCAGTGGTGAGCACAGTTTGCCATTACCAAACCCTACAGATAGGTGCAGGCAGCCATCTTAGATTTCACAGTATGGCTTAGCCCTATCCATTTATATCTATAAAAATAATTTGAGAGTTTTGGAAGATCAAAGATTCACACATGTAAAATAGAGAGTTAATTAGAGAGGGTTTTTTGGGGGGTGGTTTGTAGGGGTGACTGTACTTGTGGGTATACCTAGAAGTTTGGAACAGGAGCCAAAATCTTACTGACTACGGACATCAGTTTCATTATTGATTGAAATGGAAGGTCACTTAGCCATTGGTCTTCATCATGTGGTTGTTGAACAAGAGGAAGGAGGTCTGATTTCAGTCATATTGGTAATTTTTAGCTTTTTCATGTAATTCTGTGATACAATATGTGACTTTTGTGCTCATCAAAAAGAGAAGTGTTTTGTATGACAGGTGCTTAGTGAACTTAAAAGAATAAGCTTGTTCCACATCCTCCCCTGATTTTCCTGTTATTCCAGTCCTAGCTTTAAGTCCTTCCCTGAAGCACAGACTCAGCAGCATGTTGGATGTGGTGACATCAGTCAATTGCATATGCGTCAGAGCTCTGAAATGCAATATGAGCTATTAAGTGAAGCTCCTGGCTAAATTTGTAGCTGCTCCCGATCTGTAGAACTGCAGCTGTTTACTCTGGTGGTGATGTCCCTTTGGTCTTGCACCCATACCCCATGCCCGCCGCTTCATTGCCTATGCGCAATGAAGGGTTAATAGGCAACTTTGAAATATTGCCACAAGGAATGTTCCATTATGACATGGAAAAAAAGTCATTCCCGTGGGGGTGGCAGAGCACTGGAAACAGAGCCAGAGATGTGACCAATCCTCATTGAACCTCAAGTGGACAAGACCCAGGATCTCTAAATCTACCACTTCCCCCTGTGTGAAAAATGTTTTGACTAGCTGACCTCCACATATTATTTTCAGCCAAGATTTTATTTTTTTGGATGATTCTTCTGCAGTAATTAGTACCCGTTCCTAATACCAGAGTTCATTTCGGCTGTCTGGATGATGGAAGTCATGTTTTCACCACAAGATGATTAAGAAGTGTCTTCTTATGTTTCTTTCTGAATATTACCCTTTTTTGAGCCTTCTTATCTTGGTGGCTACGCCTGGGAAGTCACTCAGATTCCCAGAGTAGCTGGATTCTTGTCTACTTTCCCAAGTGTGGGTTAAAGCCTTAGTCTGGAACACAAATTCTAGAGCATAAGGAATTAACAGTGGTCATTAAAAGAGGTGATTTTGAGCTAACGGGTGTGTTCTTCATTAATGTGAATCTCCCATTTACTTCAAATTACAGTAGTTAAGATCCAAACAGTAAATACTACTTTAAGGTACTGAAGCAATAGCTGCATTTCTGGCTTCCTTGCTGGGAGTTAGTGGCTTAGGTAATTGGGTTCATTGCTATTTGGAGCATAATCAGCAAGCATTCATTCTCCATACACCCAGCATATAAAATTTGCAAGAGCTGCATACCGTGCGTGCTCAATCAGTGTAAATCATTTAGCAGCCCGCATAATGGATGTCTGGCTTTTGGACTAAAAAATCCTCTTGGTAATACAGACAAATGAGTCATGAACAAGTCTTCCAGTTATATATAAAATTATTATATTCACAAGAGACTCTGAAAGCTGAAGAGATTTTAGCTTTCCAGACAGCAAAGGGGAAGATGAAATGCTGTTACAGTATTTTCATTTATTCTGAGTATTTTTATTCTGTACCAAGATGGCATTTTGTTCACTTAGCAATTATTACTGACATAGCCCAGCTCTAATCTCTTGAGGGACTGGAAAATATTCTTCTGTTGAGTGACGGTTCATGGTAGTGATGAACAGATGTAAGCAGATAAGTCTTGAAAGTAAGTTTGCAGCAGAGTTTAATAGCTGCAGACTCTTCCCTGCCTGAATCGGAAGCTGGTGAATCTCCTCTGTACTTGAGTGTGCACAGTGTGCAGTTGCTGTGGGAGTCAGAGCCTCACTAATAATTCAGCAGAGATTTCCTGAGATTAAGCTATCAGAGTATGGCCCTCATTTAGGCCACTGACATCAGAGCAGGAGTGTGTTGGCTGAGTATCAGCAGCTGCAAGGGAGGCAGATGATGAGCTTCCTCCTTGCCAGTGGATGTCATACCCTGAACCTTTTCACTCTGTATCTCTGCCAGTCAGCAAATGCTATGAACAGTGAAGCATAGATTTGAGCTCACTTTCTGTCCTTCCATGAATAGCTTCTATGTAATAGGAGAGGAAACATTGCCTTCTTTCATTGTATACCCTTCGTCTTGCTTTCAAAGTCACAACAGTAAGGAATCAGCAGGCAAATCAAATATCTTACAACTTCTTATTTGAAATGAGACCTTGTTTAGCCCCTCTTCAGAAAAAATCTCTCCTCACTATAAATTATTTTTCCTGAATTTTGTCTTGACTCTCAAAAATTTTCTTCTCTTGACATTTTCCCGTTCTCTCCCATGCTTGTTTGTGCACCCATATTACAGAGGAAATAGGCACATCTTTGTAAGTGTGACCTTTAGCTGGTTTGTTGCAGAAAATAAAATGCCACGGGTCAAACTCACTAATTCTTAGGGCTTGCCTGGGTTGCCTCATTAAGCAGGATTTGACAGTATAAGTCCTAAAGAAAAAGGGGTTAATTTTTGTATGACATTTCAATTGCAGGTATGAGGTGGTTGTTTTTCCACTTGGTTGATTGGTTAAGGGGTTGTTTGTCTGTTTGTTTGTTGTTTTGGGGTTTTTTGTTTTGTTTTGTTTTGGGGACTTTAGACCAAAAAGCACTGATTAGGGATTTTGAGTTATCCTTGAAGAGCCTGGGAAACTATCAGTTACATTAAAATAGGAGAAGAGGGAAGAGGCTGTCTTAGGTTTTAAAATGTATGTACTGATACTCTGCAATTGTTTCCAGTCCAGAGCCTCCAAGTGCTCCATAATGATAGAGAGCTAGCACTACCTGCTACATCAGGAAAGGAATCCTGCTCCCACAGAAAAATGCAGTTATGGAAATCTGTCTTTTTAATGCTGCTACAAAAGGATAAAGCACTTTGCAAAGGTCTGGTCTCCCCAGACTCACTGTTCTAGCTCCAAGTAAGATAAGGAATAACAATTGCTCATAAATGTAAAAAGAGGAGGAGGAGGAATACGAGAACATGGATTAGAGATCAAAGCTGCAGCGTTTTGTGAATGGTAATGTGAGAACCTCCTCTGGGTCATGGATCTTTTTAGTTTGATTTGTCTTTGCTTCCTGACTAGCAGATAGGGTTCTCTGTGCATAATTCTGCTTCTCTCTTCTTCCCCCACCTTTTTTCTTATGCCTAGAAACCCCTGATACAAGTCAGAGTGATGTGAGCTAGCTGCTTACCTGCTGTACAGAATCAGGATAAAAAGGGCCCTGCCTGAGAGGGTGATGAGTAATTTGTGTGAATCTCACTAAACCCAGCCTCCAATTCAGTTGTTCTTCAGTGCTAAAGGAATTAATTTCTCATTTACGTGGACAGTCTTGAGGTGACAATCAGACTCAAAGCTACCCTTTGGAAAAAAAAGTAAGGTTTGTCCCTAGGACATAATGTATACCCAGCTGCTTCAAAAAGGCATCCTTGGATGGCTGGTTGTGGAATCAGTTCATACTGAGGTGTCATCAGTATCTCTGCTCTGTCTTGCATTGTGCTGCAGCTTCAAAGCACTGAGCAAAAAGAAATGTTAAAGACTTCAGGGAGCTAGTGAAATTCAGCAAAGTGCATTAGAAACGGAGGAAGAAAAGTCCCTGGTAAGGCAATTAATTAGATTAACAGCCATGTTTCTTTCATTCTTTTTCTAGATGAGGAACAAAGAGATGACAGACTTTTATTCCAGAAAAAGTCACTCTCCAGTGAGAGAAACAAGGTCTTCCCAAACTTTGCTGGTGACAGAAGGCAAGGAAGGGTAATTGATGAGCCGTAGTGCAGATGTTTACAGAGCTGTTAAGATTTATATGTGAAGACTGTTCAACCCTGAAGATGCAGTGTTTTCTGTAAGGAAGAATGTGACAGGTCCATGAGAGACAACCTTTTCAATTTCTCTTCCTGTCAGTGTAATCCTTCATGAACTGCAAATTACCCACCTGCAGTTCTTGGGTGGTACAGTACTCAGTGCAAAGGACTAGACTATTTTTTCCTATGTTTTTTTTTTTTTTTTTTTTTTTAAGAAATAACATGTCCAAGTCTATGACAAGACTGATACAGATAGATAAAGTCACCATGTACACAACACACCACGTACATGTATAACAGAGTCCTGGAACAGAACATTTAAATATTTTGATGTTGAGATATTACAGTGTTTATGTTGGTTAATTTAATGTTTTGTGTCTATGTGTTTGAGATTGGTGGCACTGCCAGGGACTCTGGTACTGACCTAGACGAATAGTCAGCATGAAATGTCAAACATCAGGCACTAGAGCTAAGGGATATTTATGATTTTTCTCCTCTGAAGTCATTAAAGACCTTGAAGGAACAATTTGTGTGGAGACTTCAAGTAAAAGGTAATACCATAAAGGGCTATTTTGCTTTCTATAAGCATGGGGGAAAAAAAGGGAAGAAGAGTGTAGTATTTTTAGAGTATTGGAGTGAGACACAGTTGATACAGACTCAGTGTTTTAAATTAGTCTGGTGCTGAATACGTGTACCAGCTAAGTAAGGAAAAAGATATTATCTGTACCAGAGAAGAAAAGTAAGCAAGTCTTTATTTAAAATTTAATCAAATTTAGACTTCAGTCAATTTCTACAAAGGAGTTGCATACCTACTAAATCACTTTAATTCTTGACAAATAATGTTGTACAAGAGAAAATACAGTGGGATTGTAATTGGGTTTGGGGGTAATATACTTTGTGGGAAACCAGATTATTTGGATAATTTCTCAACTTGACTTAACCTGTTACCCTGTGAGGTTCCTATCATTAGACTGTGACAGGCTGAACTGCTTCATTGACTTGAAATCTTTGTTCCACCTGAAATGTGCCCTGCTCTTGTACCTCCCTTGCTAAGATATCCTATGGCTATTTATTTGCAGTCCTTTCCCTTCCTTAGACAAAATCAAGCTTGTGAAGTGGAGGGAAAACTTCATGATGTTATGTCATTATCCCAGTTTTTAATGACACATGGCCATCTTGAGACCATTTTGTATTTCTACACTGCTTTTTAAGGTCACTAATTAACCAAGGTAAGAAAACACATGAATTGTGTAGATGTTCTGACACCCAGATCAGCTCTCAGGATTCATAAATTATCAGAGGACAGGTCCAAATCTGTCTGAAAAATCATTGAGATTAATTGTGAAGATGAAGCGCAATATGATATTACACAGTACAAGCCAAAGCAAGGAGAGGTGCAGAGTTAGCAGGACTCTTACATCAGCAGTGAAACTGCCTACAGCGCAAGCCAGAGCACTTGCTGAGAAAGCACCCGTATGCAAATATTTTTCTTGCGCACAGTTTGCAGCTTCATACTCAAGTCTTCCCTAGGACATTAATTTAAAAGAAAAAGTGTGACCTAGTTTTGGGGGGATCTTAATCTTTAGCTTTTTTAGATTGCTTGCAGGCAATGTTTCTGTTTTGATTTTGTATAATGTCACACTGGCTGCATATCTTGTGCAGCTGATGGCCTGAGGTCAGCTACTCTACCTACTTTCAAGCCAACTTTGTTCATATTATCCAGGAAATGGACTACTGAATGGAGGGGGTTTGCTCTGTGAAGAGCAGTGGGCTGTATTTAGGTGTTAATAACATGTTCTATTATATTTGAAGGGAAGAGTTGAAGAGTTAAACATGTGGTAGAAGGCTCAGCAATGTTTTTTAGCTGCTGCAGAATTCATACAGGCAAAGACCTCTAGCTGTATCGATCTGGGTAAGGGCCTAGAGAAATTTAGGGTTTTCTTATAGGCTGTGTTCTACCCTTCACTCTTTCTTAGTCTCTTATTTATTTTGTTTATTGACAGTTAACAAGTCTCACTTATTTTGTAATACTGAAGGCAGATTGAGCCAAGACCTACATATTGACATATTGTTTTATGAGGTATCTGTTACATAAAGTAATTAACAATTAAACTGACAATTCAAATAGAGAAGTTCTCCTGGCATGAAGACATAATTTTATTTCAGAAGCACTGCTCCCTTAAAGTCATAACAGGGAATAATGTGAATTTAACTTAAAAGGCTGAATGCTATTTGTGGTAAAGAATCTGGGTACATGACAGCTGAACATTGCACACCTGGCCCTTCAGGGTGAAAATTTCTGCTCTAATGCTTGTACTTGGGCTACTGTACAAATCAGCAAGTCTTCTCCCTGCATGTATCATTGCTACATGCAAATAGGTGCCTATAGGTTGGGAGTTTACAGAATGCTGTGAATGAATGATTTTTGTCTGAGCTGCTAATGCAGCTCTTTCAGTGGGGGGACTGGATGGATTGTAAGCTTTTTGAAACAAATGTTTTCTTGTGTAAGAGGCTCCAGTGTTCTCCAGGGCCCCATAGTCCTGTTGAAGAGTAACCTACAATGTGTAACCTGCAACATGCAGTTTGGCTGCTTTTGTGGCAATGTCACACATGGAACTAGGATTTGGTGGTAGAGGGGAAGAAGTAGGGGAAACAGTAATGGCTAACTTTGTACATGTGACCTACTTTAGTTACTGATGATGTGATTAACAAGAGAAAAAAAATGCATGAAGAAATATTTTTTTCTCTTTGTCTATAAATGTATATAACACAATAGACATATTTCTGCATGATTTTAAAAAGTTCTCTGCAGCACTCTCTCCTTTGTGAGCATATAGGATTATGCATTAAGATGAAATTAATCCCTCATTTTGAAATACACAGGCTTAGCATTTGCCACAGTTTTGCTCTGAGAAAGGGATTCAGACGCTGTGGTCTCCACCAAAGAATGACAGATTGTTGGCAGAATCATTTTCATTTGTTTCTGCAAGTGAAGCAGTTAATAAATCAATCATGCATTATTACTGGATTAGCAATCACACTCCCAAATGCTTCTAGCTGTTCTCACTCTTTCTCCTGAAGATTACCTTTAAATCCTATCAAGGGACAAGATTCCTTTTGCCTTGCCTGGCATTAGCACCCTAGTGACCTACAGCCAAAGTCAATAGTCACTAAACTAGCTCTCTGTCATGGTGGAAGAACAGACAGCCTTAACCAACTGTTTCTTAAGAAGAATGTAGTTTCTCCTGTCAGTGCCTCCACTTTCTATTTTTTCCACCTCAGCCAGTCTGAACAGAAGGAAGTTTGCCACAATGAATCACTCAAGAATCTGTTGTGGGGTCACACAGAATGGGAGAGTTGTGCAAGGCTGAAGACTGCAGAGGAGCTGGAACAAAGAAAATGAGGGCAAGGTAGGTACTTAAACTCTTTCCTTCTGGTTAATTAAGCTTATTTACCTCTTGTCTGCAGCTGAGTGTGGTCTCTAAACCTGCCTGTTCCTCTTGGTCTGAGAGCAGAGAAATAGCACTGGAGACAGGTCATAAATTGATGAGAGAATTCATGGTCTGTGACCTCTCCTTGTCTGCAGTTTCACAGGAGAGTTAAAATTGCATGTTGGACATATAAAATAGTACAGCACTTTTTTTGTTTGTTTTGAAATGCTCACCAATGAAATGGCTTAACTCAGCAGTGACTCCTTATTTTGCCTCATAAGCTACTTTGTGTTTATTTTCATGGTATTTGTTTCATTATCACTGGGGTTTATTTACAAAAGCACTGGAGTATTTTATGTGCAAAAAAAAATTTAAAAAGTAAGATTACACTTAAATTATCATGTGCTTCATTTTTAAGGAGCAGTTGTTTTTGATGTGTTTGGGGTTTGAAACCTGAAATATATAGATAATAAAATATTTTATCTAGTAATGAATATTCTTACACTTTCATTATGTTTTACTGCATGGAGGATTTTAATATATCTATAAAATATTTTTCTTATAGCCTTGTACATTTTTTTTGATAACCTGTTACTAGACATGAAGGATGGTCTGGAGATTTAAAATCTTCTTAGTATACAGACAAAGATAACAGGATATGAACTGAAGGGCGTAAGCAGCACTTAAACTCTACCTTGAACCCAAAGATGCATGATTGTGCAAGTAACTTCTTCAAGTTGCCTCACAGTAAATATGCAGCCACAGTATGTTTGCAGCACTGTACTTTCTGATATGATCAGCATAGTTATATTCTGGGGTGAATGGTTAGATAAAGGAATGGGATAGCATTCAGATCAGGGCTCACTGTGTCTGATTCTTAAGGTGTTAGACTGTTTCATTCAGAACTGTTGTTTCCTCGATTCACCAAAATTTTAGTTTATAGTGTTTCTTTTCTAGAAACTGCAAAAAGAAATGGTGGACAAGGAAGTATGGGTGGGGGTTAATGTGAGAAAGCAAAGACCAATGCAACTGGACAAGAAAGCAGTC